ATTTTGGAAATCAAAAAAACACATAAGGATGAGTACACAAGCAATTATTTAGACTTGAATATTAAAATAGTTAATGGAAATATCATAACGGATTTATATAACAAAACAGACGATTTTAGTTTTAAAGTAATTAGATTTCCACATAGCGATTCCAATATATCTATTAATAATAAAGCCTCAGTAAATCTATACCGAAGCGCTTAGAATAGCTAATATTTGTTCCACATTGGAATTGTTTGAAAAAACTAAAAATTTGGTCACCAACCTAATAAGTAATGGGTATTCCTCGGAATTTATAATAGCAAACATAGTTAAGTGCGTTTACAAAAATAAACATGTTGCGTACAAGTTTTCTATTACTAACAACATTGGTAATATTAAGAAGTTTATAATGTCCATAACTTCTACGCAGTAGAGTTTATTCATTAGATTTAAAGTATATAGTTCAATTGAAAGACCTTTCTTATTCACATTTGATTTCATAATACTTCCTACAAGCAATCTATGTTATTATCAGTTCTTTATTTGCTCTAGATCTAATTGTGACAAGTGAACTGAGTATCATACGGTATGTGTAACATACCGTATAAATATCATCTATTTGGATGTCTAGCCTAAATTAGTCTTATTTGCTTTAGTTACAATACTCATTACTACCGCTTTACTCACACTCTTCCTTTTTCGCTCTCTCTTCCTCTTCTCTTCTTTTTCATTGTCAAGTCGATTATTCACATTCTAATACAAATGATCTCACATAATACATGAAAACCTCATGCGTCCATCATTACAATAGTTCGTATATTCAAGAGAATGTAGAAACGAAAACTGTTTCCCTTCCTTCATTTTATCTATATCCATATCTAATTTAGTCTTTATTGCTACCTAGCCTTCTCGACCTGAAAAGCGTATGACGCTATCCGCACCAGGCTGTGAGTCGCTCACGGGAACAACGTGTCCATACACCTGATTCGACTGGTGAAGACATGTACGAAGTAAGCCAGCAGACAACGCACCGATCAACCCTAACAAAGGAGCAATAAATAATCACGGTTCGGTGCATCTAGGTCAGCTTGCACCCTTCCTGTTCCTCCTAACGCTCGATACCATAGTGAAGCGCCTCATGGAACGGGTCCACTGAAGACCATCCTCTACGCTGACGACATAGCTCTGATAGCGGATAGTAGAGGAGAACTTCAAGCCAAGGTGCAGAGATGGCAGAATGTCCTGGCAGAAGGCGGGCTCCGGCTGAATGTCAAGAAGACCAAGTTCCTGAGCTCCGAAGAGGGTGCAGAGCCGATCGTAGACGGCCATGGTGAGACCATCGAAAGAGTGGAGGACTTCCGCTACCTTGGGAGCGATCTGGCAGCTGATGGCAGTGTGGATCAGGCGGTGAAGGCTCGGGTCAACACAGCATGGATGAAATGGAGGGAGTCCACTGGAATTCCTCTGTGATCGAAGATGCTCCAGAACGCTCAAAGGGAAGGTGTACCGAACAGTAGTCAGGCCTGCGATGGCTATACGGCAACGAACAGCTTTGGCCCTCTGCAAGAACACCGCAAACAAGTTCACTCTCTGATGATGAGCGAAGGCTGAGATGGCGCCTTGCGACTGGACGCGGCTGGACAGGGTTAGAAACGAGGATGTCAGAGCGTCATGCAGACGGCCCCTGTCCAGCTGAAGGTACGGGAACAGCGTCTACGATGGTATGGGCATGTGCTAAGGAGGCCACAGGATCATCCGATAAGAACAGCGATGGACTTCGAAGTGCAAGGCAAGCGACCGCGAGGAGCCCCAAAGAAGAGGTGGAGAGATGTGATCAAGAAGGATCTAAGTGAAGTCATGGCCACAGCAGAGGACGCCCTGGACAGACTAAAGTGGCGACGACTGACAAAGACAGCGGACCCTGCGACTGCGCGGGACTAACGCATAGGAGAAGAAGAAGAAGAAGAAATAGCCTACGAACTAAACTTGCTATTCACTTCTTATACAAATCTTAATTACACTTCATCTTGGGAGTCATATTGGAGCAGCTGATAGTGAACGCTAGGCGGCTCCTCATTTTGCCACTAGTTGCTTATACAAGCTCTCTCTCACGACGGGGTATAAAAGTGAGCATATCGCATACTAAAATCTGGATCTGTCGTGTCGCATGAGTGATCGCTTCCGAAAATGTGTGAACACATTTCACCTTGAAAAGAAAGTGAGAACATGTGAACGTGAACCACACATTTTGCACGCTATTTTGTAATCAAGTCGAAATCGGTTCGCACCCGATCATTTCATCGAAATCACTTAGACAAAAGTTCTAATACACTCAGACAGTAAATCTCTTTACTTCAATTCACCTGTTGATAGGGATTGCGGGACATCGTCATTTTTGTTAATGCGCACAAAACTGAAAACTGAGTTGACTCTAAAGTGCACACAGTGAAATGAGAGCAGAGAGGATCATGCCTAACCTCGGACAATAGAAACTCGTTATCTGCATAGTTTAGTAGTTTAGTTCATTGACTGGGCGCAGAATATAATTATTCTGAGCAACGCATTCGCACTGTGGAACCACTTGCTCTCCTCTTAATAGCTAAAATAGCTGGCATCGACAGACCTGGCCGACGCGGTGTTGCAATCTCGAGGCGGATCCAGCCTGAGATAGCTCCAAGTAAGTAGACAACCTGCTCTTCTCAGAAAAAATCTTTCTAGCCGGTGAATACCCGAAGCTTCGTATGGCCTGTGGACTATAGTTATAATCAATCCAGTGCTTGCACTAATACACTCACTTTTACTGCTCACTCTTGAAGCTTTGCGAAACCTCAATCGGTTTTTGGGCTTGCAGAAACCCTCCGAAAGGCGTCTTACTAACCAATAAAACCACTGCGCCTGCTGATAGTGTTCTTCTGTTTCTCTAACTATCGTTGCTGTCTTTCATCAATTTAGGGATCTTTCTGCCCTACAAACATACTTCGGCTCATTTTATATAGCGCACGCTCCGCCCACAACGACCAGTTTCCGTAACCAAGCGTTTAAAAAGAATATCCGATTTCAATCCCGTTCACTTGGGCGCTTCGCAACTAAATGAACACTGCAAACGGAACTCGTTCATATCACTGGAGGATTATGTGTTAATTTTTATTCATTTTTCTTGGTATCCAGGTTGCCTTGAGACGGATTTGTTGATTTAATTTTTGTTCTCGTCATTTCGTTGTATGCCTTTCTATCATAGCCGGCCTCCATATTTCACGAGAATGTTCACTACCGACGGAGGAGCGGCACAAGAACGTTGTCTAATTTGTTATATACTTTTTTGTTTTTTATATGATGTTGTATTGTGTATATAGTATTTCAATACCATGAAGTTTCGCTGCGACCGCTGCCATTCTTATCAATCGTGGCATACGTGGCGTCTGCGCCCTCTCGCGTACGATGCGCTCTCTCGCGTCTTCCCTCTCCTCGCGCTATTTCTCTCTGCCGTACCCCGTTGTACCTCACAAGAAAAATTCAGTGTTGTCTATGGCGCTCTTCGCTTTTTTGCCTACTAGCGTTCCTTTTTCCACTTCCTCTCTGATTTTTAAACAAAATAACACAACTGTTCGGTCACAACCCATGCCTTCAGAATTCCAGGCCGATTTTGGTATCCTGAGCTAACCCAAAAGAGAGGTATGCTCAGTTGTTCTGATGAGCACCGACACGCGGTTTATGCACGCACGTCAGTGGCCTTTACACACCTCCTCAAGACCATCTGATGTCCCGTCAACTAGCTCACGCAAACTTCAATCTCGACACTTATGTATGTCTCCAAGCCAGTTTTTCAAGATCTGTCGTGGCTTTTGATCCCGTGCAACTGTGAAAAAAAACTGGCCAATGTCAGCCTCACGCCTTCGTCACCTTCAGTTTACGGATATGGGTCATAGCGATGCTATCTAAAAGATATACACGATACGCGTTAGACGCCCAATATGTCTGAGAAACGCTTTTTTCACAGCATTGCTCTTCTAAATGTTAAGCTCCTCAGCACTTTTCATTGTGGAAAACTACGCTTTAAGCACTTTTTCAAATTATCTCAATGGAACTTGAACTAATTCAGAAAATGTATACATTAGGACGGGAATTCACTCTGTCTTTTGTTCACCATGAGGACACTGGGCACTATTTACCCCTTGTAACATCAGTTTAATGTCTCATTACTTTGTACATTATAATTATAGTTGTAATTTTCAGTGGTATTTTCTTATTTTGAGAGTATACATTTCTTTGTTGTTTTTAAATCTCGGTATTAAATTACTTTTGTTAGTAATGGGCGCTAGAGTCCAGGGGCCCCATATTTCGATTCAATCATCTCGTGCAAAAAGGCGGACCCACGGCTAACTATTTCTTCTGGCACGGTCAGCGAGGGGGGGGGGGCATATTCGCGATCGTGGGAAGGAGGTCATATTTGGGGTTTTGTAAGGGGTGCATTGGAGCGGTTAAAATCTAGGTGATAAGCGCACATTTACCCCTCTCATAACACCACGGAGTTTCGTGGGAAGAGATGGAGTGCGTCGAGCAGTAACAGGTTCAATGGCACTACCTTCACCCCCGAAGCTTGGATAGGGTGGTCTTGTGGTGGTGGTGGGGGGGGGGGGGGTTCTTCAGGGAGAGCGGCTTGCGACTTCGAAACCTGTGCCAACGGCTAACGTCAGCATGCTGAGGGTTCGTTTCGGGCACACGGGCCACCTATCGCCTCACTCCAACAGTGAAGGCAACATATTCGGAACGCCGAAGGATTCTTCCAAAAGACGGCAGAATTACTTCGCAGGGTAACACGGTAGGCGAGAAAAAGGCTCTCCGGCTTTAGCCAAACTTCGGCTCGAAGGACCTCCTTACCCCAAACAGCTCACACAGACCTGAGGGTATCAATGCTAATTTTTACGTCTCAGGGTAGTCCTGCTCTCATTTTTTTTACCCAAACTTAAATTTCAGCTGAGTGAGTTACTGTAAGCTAGCCCACTAATCAATTTCAGAAAATGGGCCGACGAACGAAGGCAAGGAAGAAGTTCTTGATTGAAAAGCAGGAATCCTGCAGTGAGCAAAGTGAGAACGGTGGCGAAGCACCTGCTGAGGAGCTCCCCACTGATGACGTCCCAAAACCTTCAATGGAAGCTGAGGAGACTGTAAGTATTACATTAATGTAGAACTACGCGAGAGGTCTTACTTTGCGAGTAGCCATAACAGCCATAGTTGAATCAACGAGGCCACGTGGTCATGACGACAAATGATGAAGCCATTTTTGCTCTATTCGTGGCATGTGCCATGCATTCTGTTTCCGTTCAGAATTGTGGTTGCATTTGAATGCGATTCGGTTTATACAATGACTTGCGGGAGCTCAGTAGATAATATTCAAGCCCGTGGTTTTGTCGCCGCAAACAAGCGTAAAATTGGCTCGACTCTGGAGGATTACGTGGGTTTAGACGAACATGTCGATCCTACGAATTAGACGTGCGCGAATGTGCGAGTGATAAGCGCCACTTGCCACAATGCCACCGCCGCACTAAATAATGAGCGATTGAATCTTTTCAATCATGACACCATATTGCGTAATTGACCTGAATTGAGGGTTGTGCTGTGCGTAATTCTATTTAATTTTTATTTATGCAACTAAAGCTCATTCAGAAAGCAACTCCTGTGCAAATGCGCTCACGCCTTCCAGTGCCATGTGTATCAGGACTGGTCAACCGACTGTCTTCTACGAAAACACCGGGTGAGTGCTTGAGTATAAACGGGAGGAATTTCGACATTCATGGGATATTACTGCAAATAAATAATTTCAGTGGTCTTCCAAACGTTAATCTCGGAGGATTCTCCTGACTGCAAGAGGTAATTTTAATTTTTTTTTCAAAAAGTTATTCAATGAAGTAGAACAAAAGAAGCTGAATCTGCGTTGAGCTTAATGGCTTTCCTGGGACGCGCCGCGCATTTCCATGGTTCCCAAATAGAATTTAACTGACACATTAAATGCGATTTGGCTTTGGCCGAAGGCTCGATAAATCCTGCCGTTCGATTCTTCGTCGAACAAAATGTGGTAGCCACTATTGTCGGCTTTCGAAGAATAGAAGGCTTTCGCACAGGCCTGCGCAGCATCCTACCAGGAATTGAACTTCTAATCATGGGCGTGGGAAGTGGCGCTACTCACCGCTACACCACCTTGATTTGCTGGTTCTTATGAAGCGATCAATACGCTGCTCCAGCACTTTCGATTGGACGAACACTGTCGAATAAACTGTGTGACTAACTGAAAACACGCGAGACACTAACTAGGGGACAGGATGGAGGAAGAAGTGGTCATTTGAAATGCAACTGTACTAGATCACTGCCGTCCCTGTCTTAAAGCCACGAGTCAGGATTAGGCAACCAGCAGAAGTTCTTCCCAGGGTGCGATAGTGGGCTCCCCAAGCACTGAGGGCGCGACACTATCGCGACCCAAAAGTGCGCGGCAATGGCGCTAAGGCCTTGCCCGCCGCGCTGCCAGCGTAATCCACCACGGCATACGTGGTCTCTGCGTCCTCTCGCGTATGACGTACTATCTCGCGTTCTCCCTCTCCTCGCAGCGCTGTGTCTCTCCGTCGTACTACGGCCGGCCTCCTAAGGGAAATTTAGTGTTTTCTATGGTGCTTTTTGCTTTTTCTCCTCACTAATGTTCCTCATTGCACCCCTTGCCTAATGTTTGAACAAAAAATAGCATCAATTCAATCCCGACTCGTGCCTTTAAGCTGTTGTCAGACCCAGCGAATCGCTCGATTTTCAATGTCTAACAGTGACTTTAGGGCGTTTCAGGCCAAGGGAAGGCGACCTCCATCTGTAGCAGGTCAAAATACCTTCCGAAGCCATTTCTAATCAAATCGAGATTTTCGACGCCCGTCTAACTTCAAAACTTAATTTGTGAATTTCCAGTGTTTATATTTTTGAATCCCATAGAAATACGATTCCATATCTGTGTTGCCTTCACTACGACTGTTCACTTATGGGATTCAGTATGGGATTTATAGCAGTGTCAACCAGCCGTTAGAAACTGTATTAACGGCGAAGGGGGTGCGGGAGGAGAGCGTTTCTTGTGGATGTTGAAGGGGTCTTGGTTGCAGGAGAACCGGTCGCTTTCTGACGCTCTTGACGGTCCTGAGACAATTTTGCGAAAACTTCACGGAAGAGAAGTGAAATAGGCAAAGTTAGAGAATTTGCTGGGGTTGGGAGGGGAGGGCAGACCCCCTCCTGTCGCTGATATGGTAGTGGTAGGGGTGATGGGGTGGGGAGCGGGGAGCGGGGGTGTAAACATCCTAAAACAGTGGGAATGCAACGGTTGACGCTAACGCCACTTCGTAGTTTTCATAACTTCAGTGTACAGTAACCCGTCGTAGTGTCACAAGTATGACCAGTTTCCAAGATGTTCTGAAAGTCATCCTCTTCAGATCAATGATCCCACGGCTATTACCAGTGCGCGTCACGCGGCCCCGACAGAATGCAACGCTCAAGGTTGGATTGCATTACATTTCATTCTCTCATTTTTCTCCTTCATTTTTTCATGCATCTTAATCTAAACTATTAATGTGACTTTTTAGACCGACGAATACGACGATGACAAGAGAATTGCGCAAGAGGCTTGAGGTCCTGTACTGTAGTTGTATTTCTAACTCATAAGTACCAATCACACATACCGATGAATATCTAATTTACACTATCCCTAATTATTTCTACTGACCACATTTCGATGACTGTAATTAATAAATTATAGTTTATGACAACCATCAAGCACAGCAGAAGCATCGTCATGTGTTTGGGTGAGAATCCGGAAAGGGGCTACAACCTCCCGAGGTATTTTCCGCTGCATCATCCCATTGACTTCCTCAATAAAAATTCCTTCGCTAAACAAAGGAAGAAATGAGGTACCCGACAGGAGGCTCGTCGCGCGGCGGACGAGCCGCAGCTCGTCATGGGTGTAGGACGTCCAATGGCACGCACTCTACTTAACTTGAGGCGAAATCACTACATCTGCGATTCGTACGCTGACACACCCCTTCTTGCCGCGCACGGGGCCCTCCTGTGGTACCAAAAGAATTTGCATCATGATTCTGGGACCATTACGATATTCACTAGCAACAACCTTACAAAACAAGAATAAAAACTCAACGTGACACTTCTTTAATGCGTTAAAACAAAATAGATTCCAACTATTTATTGCGAAAGACTCCAAAGTTTTTACTAAATAACTTGCAAAAATGTTTGAGTGCAAAACTTTTGCAAAAGTTTAGACCTTACTGGCGAGCTTTTCGGGGCTTAGCGCCTTGTCAAGCTTAAAATGGAATGGGTAAGTAGAAGCTTTTGAGGTGCTAGCTTCAGTTGGGGGAGGACCACGCGGACGGCGCGGCTTTATTCTGCTGGTGCTCTCTCGAGCGAGATAGTGTGAACTCGAACATTCCAGCTTTTCACGCATGTCAAGTGACTGCCCTCACCCCCACCCCGCCTAGGACTGCCTACAGTCCCCCTGGCTCACAGATTTCCCGAAGTACGCAAAGATGCCAGGCGAGCAAAGCTTGTAAGGTTTGAAAAAAACTAAAAAATAATACCAGAATTCACTGCGCCTTAAAATATACCTGTTTTGTATGATTTTTGACCCATTTCGGAAATCAGCAACCGCCAGTTTCTACGATGACCAGGAAAGATTTGACCTAATTCCGATACGTCCGAATCACTGCCGGGTCTCGGCGTTGTTCACAGTTGATGAGCCTCCGGAATGTCAAACTGTTTTCGCCGAAACAACCTGAGTCCGATGGTTGTTCAACTTTTTGTCGGAGACCGAGCGTTAGCGAATCGTTCGGCGATGTCGAGCAAAATCGATCTATCCCAGATTAGCGTTCTCAAACAGCTACACCCCTGCGGACGCCAGCGAATCGCTCGTTCCGCAAGGTCTAACCTCGGCCTTGTCCGAAGTCAATCGTACGTTGAGCACGGAACAAGGGAGAGGTCGTATTTGGGGTGGGGTTCCCTGCACTAGCGACGTTAGGAGATCAGATCGCGAATAAGGTTTCGCCTGTTTATCAAAGGAGTGCGGACTAGAAAACAATCTGTAACGATAAATCTCTTCATTGACTCACCCTAGTAAGCTGTTGAGTCTATCTCAGAATTGCTTTTGGAGCGCTCGACGTGGCCGTTAAAAATGCCAGCGGGATAGGATAGTCTCGGGAGTGTGGAGTGGGTTGCATCCGCCGAACCCTCGCAGTTGCACGGATTGATTGCCAAGGTTTGTGAGGAATTTCGCTTTCTTCGGGAAGACTTCCGCCCCCTTCTTAGGCTTAGTCCTATCTGCTCACCAGGTAAATACTATTTTTCAAAGACGTTTGTGTCATGAAACACAAGAAACATACAATTATATAAATAACCAGGTGAGAACAAAGACGTCGGAACTGGAGTTATTGGGTAGCAGTGTTGGTGTTTAAATTTAAAAGGACTCCATCTCAGAGCCTAAACTCCGGCCATTCGAGTAGCAAGTACTGATGCACCGCATTTAGAATTACACTCGCGGAATGAGACCACCGTAATTTTCTATAAAGGTTGAACCTCGGCTATTTGAATTTAATTGTGCAGAGTCTGTCAAAGCACTTCAGCGCCCACAACAGACTCATGGTCAAAGGTCTCATGCTATATGAGTGCGAAGTTTGTGTTCACGAGTTCAAACTACCACTGGGACAATTTCTACTCCGATCGACGTTATGTCCCGAAAATTGAAAAAAATGGGGTTATTCATGAATACTGCTGTTGTTCTGAATTAGCTGCCTTCGGCACTATCTCATGGCTAGAATCCTCGTGGGCAAAAATTGTTCCCGTTGAAACTCGATCCGCGGAGGTAATTGACGATGCTAATCACTAATACTACGTTCGTTTTTGTCGTCATCACAATTTGAGCCTAATTTGACCCAGGAGTGTTTTTGGCTCAAAACCGTACATAAAGGAGCAATTTAGCGCACTGAACACGCATTCGACATTGAATTTTTGACGTCGGCGCCATATTCGACGTAATTAGGGCGCTGGACTATCTCTAGAATTCGTGTGCTGACGAAGTGTGAGCAAATTCGTTATGCATCCACTTCTCACTTTCACTTCTTTCATTCCTCGGTCTCCGGCATATGGGCGAACCCTCGGCCGCGATCCCCTCTCAACGCCGGCTGTTCCATGGCGTACTGGAGATCTGATTTGGGTAATCAGCGTTAGGAAGAAAGAACGCATCCTGAACGGAGGTAGGAGGGGGTTGCGCGAGAGCTTAGATTTGACCGGCTAAATTTGATTGGCACCGAGCCCGCGTGGGGAGAGTGACGACAGCGGAGAAACATGGAACAGAAGTGGGACTCCTGCTTCTTCTCAAGCACCTATCTACTCACACACACACTTCTACATCCTCACCGCACTTAACTCAAGTAGCCATGCGCCCTAGTACCTTAATTTTTCCTCTAGATCACATGATTCCATAACATGCTTCTATTTGACTTGTGCGGAAAGTAGTACTGCGTAGCCTTGTCTGATTGCAGTTGCTATTCCGCGAGCCTTTTTACATACAAAACTCGTTTTAGTGGCTCTAGAACGGCTTCCTTTATTATCATATTCCGCGTGTACTATTGGAAAATGCCCCGACTCGTTAGAGAGGGCGACGTCTCGCGTTTTTGTGACGGAACGCGTTTTAGAGTTGGCATGATTAGATCTCAGATCTCTAGAACAGCGCCAGCTATGATAATCTTTAACAATTTGTCTCACAGTTAGGGGCAGGTGGCATTTTTGGATTGTAGCACTAAGTAATGAAGTTGGTATGTGCTACGTAATCATTAAATGAAGAAAGAA